CGAGATCTAAACGGACATTGTTATAGAGGTGTACCTTTGAAAGTCATATTAGATTTTAACAAAAATCTGTTTCATACAACATGTTTATGTCTTCCAAATTATTATGGTTCACATTGTCAATATCAAAATCAACGAGTTAGTTTTACAATGAAACTTCAAACATTTTCTGATTCTTGGCAAACACAATTTCTTCTCATTGTTTCACTTATTGACGACACAGATAAACGAATTATTCATTCATATGAACAAATAACATATTTTCCAATGCAAAATTGTCAAACATCATTTGACATCTATTTAATTTATTCAAATCGACCAAAAAATCAATCCAAACAATATACAATACATATTGATATTTATGAAAAATTATCTTTAAACTATCGAGGAAGTTTCTTTATTCATATACCATTTCTATTTTTACCTGTACAACGTATTGCAAGTCTATTAAATATTCCATATAAAGGTTATTTAATGAAAAATTGTTTTATTGATGGATGTTTACATGGTGAATGTATTCGATATTTTGAAGATACAAATAATAGAACATTTTGTAAGTGTTTTAAAGGATGGACTGGTCGACTTTGTACAATTGGATATAAATGTAACTGCTCATCGGATACATTATGTCATGGTATATCAGCAAATCAACGTTCAATTTGTATTTGCCCAATAGATAAATGGGGTCCTCAATGTTTGATTTTTGATGAAATATGTCATTTAAATAATCCATGTCGAAATAATGGTACATGTATACCTTATGATCAACATGTTTCACCTGGAAATACATTTGAATGTATTTGTTCAAAAGAATTTTATGGTAAACTATGTGAATATTCATCTTTTAAAATGATTTTATCATTTTCAAATGATATTGATATACCTGAAACAATGTTTATTCATTTTATTGAAATGAAACATAGACAAGAACCAGAGAAAGGTATCACTTTTAAAAAAATTCCAATCAATCGTGATCCAATAACTATCTATTGGGCAAAAACTGTTCATATAAGTTTTGTTGAATTATTTCTCAATCAATATTATTTAATTCATCTTGATGAAAATCATAATAAATCGAATATTATTAAAAAACAAATCAAATTATCTGATTATTGTCTACATATTCGTCAAGTATTTAATGAATCATTTGCTAAACTTC